GCTCGTGTGGGTGCTCTAGTCTGCTGGGGAAGGGGCTTGGGTCTGCGGGTTCCCTGACTGTACTGACCCTTCCTGGTCTCTCTGAGGGTTTTTTTTCCCCCCTTTATGTGTTTATTCATTTATTTATATACTTAAATAATCACATTCCTTTATTTATTTTAACTGTTTGTTTCTGCCTTCCTCTGGTAAATAATCACATTATTTATTTTTAATTGTTTGTTTCTGCTTTCCTCTGGCAAGTAGGTGAGGTCTTTCTGGGGCTTTCTCTTTTATTTGTTTATTTATTTATTTTCTCCTTATTTATTTTTTTCTCCTTTTATTTTTTTTCTCCTTATTTATTTATTTTATCTCCTTATTTATTTTTTTCTCCTTCCCAGGTAACTTGGTGACGGGGAAGATGCCGATGCGCTATGGGCACACGGAGGGCCACACTGACGTCTGCTTTGACGACTCGGGGAGGTAAGTGCCTGAGTAGTGTCTGTTTTCAGTCATGCAATTCCTGACAGAAATGCCATTCGTGGGGCAGAATTGGCTTTAAATAAATAAAAATAAACATGGTCAGAGGTGGAATGAAACAGGATCTTTCTGTGAGGGGTAGTGGTGGTGGGCAGCTGTAATAGGATGCAGTTTAAGAAAAGACTTGAATGGAGAAGGTAAGTCTGGGCTTTTTTTTCTTTCCATTAACAGCAGGGTCAGAAGGAGGGTCGGATATGAGTGTCTTCAGTGTTACTGTCAATGAACAGCCCTCAACGGGCTGAGGCTGCAGAGCAGCATTCAGCATCACCTCTGACTTTGTAATTCCTCAGAACTTCATTATAATTCTTTGTGGGACTGTGAACTGGTAAACTTGCATTAGTTTAAACTAGTAAAATGCTGAAAAGTAAGACATTCAAAACCATGGGGGGAAAAAACCCTATTTACTTTGTGGTTTCAGGTTATAGTTTATAGCATTAGAATTGTGAAACTTGCCACCAGTGGACTGGACAGATGAATTTGGATGGAGATCTGGAATACATTAGTCTTTTTAAACTTTGATTTCACCAAGAACAGAGCATTTAATTGCTTTTTAGGTCTTTGAAAATTTACCTTAAGGCTAATTACAAAGTTGAGAGCAAAGTAAGAGGCTTAAAGCATATTCAACCAATGTTAATTAAGTCCTTTGAAAATTTCCTTCTAGAGCCTGGAGGAGAGAGAAGAAAGAAAAATAATGGTCATCTTAGATCAGTGTCAGTTACTGTATTAGGCTACTTTTTCTTTTATATTACTTTTTGAAATATTTTTTCCCCATATTTTACAGTATTTTTTTATTGTTGGCACGATAAATGTAGTTATTCAGCAAATTATATAGCACGTATTGTGTTACAGTTTTAAAAAGAATAAGATTTTAGTAACATTTTCGTTTGGAAACTGGAAATCTGTGGTTGTGCTTTCCATAGCTGTATGCTAACAAATTCTATATCTTTGAACAGCTGCATCGTAACCTGTGGCAGTGATGGAGACGTCAGGATTTGGGAAAACCTGGATGATGATGATCCAAAGTCCATTAATGTGGGAGAAAAGGCCTATTCGTGTGCTCTAAAGGTAACATAGTTAACAGAATTCCTGTAAACTGTGTCCTGATGATGTTGATACATACCATCATTGTGCAAATACTTTTCAAATTTATTTTGAAACTTAGAGTGCTGGTCGTGTGAATAAACATATATTGGGGTTATTTACAGAATAATATTGTGCATAGCACATCTTAGCATCTGGTATTCCTTTGATATGTAGCTCTTTGTCTTCATCTTAATATATGAAAAAATCTTGAATGCTGCTTAAAGCAACAGGTATTTAAATTTGAGCACACGAATGCTTTCTGTCTTTGTCTCAGTGAAACTGTTAAAACAGTATTGAAACCAAATAACTCTAAAATACTGAACTATTTGATTGAATGAATATGCTAATATATATTTTAAATACTTTATATAGCAATAAAGCGCTTAATTTAAAAAAATCTGAAATCAAAGGTAAGAGACAATTTATTTTACCCATCCAAGACTGTACAGAAATTATTCCTTAAACCAAGCTTGTTTCTGACTTTGATCTCCTTTTTGAGAAACAAATTCAGCAGATTAAGCTAATTATCCAGTGAACTTTATAGGCTCCTGTGTTTTCTCACAGTGTGAGTTGCAAAAAGTTTCCCAGGGTGAGATGTGATCAAATATTAAGAAAAGAGAAGTGTTTCTTAGGGTAGCTCAGCTCTTTAGTGGTGAGGGGATTAATATTTTTATTTGCAGCCTGTGACTGTAGCTCATTCCTACTATTTTGCTTCCCCTGGCCCAGAGGCTCTGAATTGTTGACTTGGAGAGGAAGGTTATGTGGAAATACATGAGCCAAGAGGTGGTTTTATGGTGCTTTCTATTCATTAAAAGTTACATTCACAAAGTCTGTGTCTAATAGTGTTTTGTAATACTTAAGCCAACCAGTTGATATTTAGTGTCAAAATTAGTGTTCAGCCCAAAAATGCTTATGACTTCTCTCCAACAGCATTACAAGACAATATATTTTTTGTTAAATAGTAAGTTGTCATTGTTTTAAGGATGTTTCTGTAGCCTGACTGACTTGTTTTGGCATTAGAAATAAAACAGGACCTTTCCCTTTAATGTTAAGGCTGCTCCTTTTTATAACTTAAAGAATTGATTATTTGGGAATAACAAGACCAATGAGAGTTACGTATATGAACTTGTATAATAGAATATACTCTGAACTGGGAAATTTGGTCCAAGGGTGCCCTCTCCTGATGATGCAGCATATATATCTAAATAACATGTGAAATTTTTCCCTTTTTGAGAGCTCACTTGCCTTTGCGAAGGGATTGAATGTTTCTATTAAGACAAAAATCCCAATTAGATCAATCTCTTTGGAAATTCATTAGTGACTTTTCTGAGTATTTGCCATTTTAGTAAAGATGCAAGTTCGGAAGGTCTTGATATGGTAAATAGAGATATGGTTAACTTTAGGACTCCTATGTCTGTTGAAACTGGAGTTGCTTATAGTAATAAGTCTATCAACGTGTTTAGTTTTGCAGGACTGAAACTGAGATTATCTATTAGTTTTTAACACTTTATTTTAAAAGATAATTTGTTAAAAGCTTTTGTGCTTGTCTGTTTTTCCTTTTTTGGGGTGGTGTGGTGAATATATTTTAAAGAATATCGCTCAGCTACTTTTATTATTAGATTTCTTCTGGTGTTACTAAACTGCATCTACTCAAATATTGGGAATGTAAAAGTATTTGGGGGGTTCTTTGGACATAAATGTGTTTTAACTAACCAATGGTGCGATGGGTTTTGTTTTTTAGAATGGAAGACTGATCACAGCAGTATCTAACAACACTGTTCAGATTCATACTTTTCCTGAGGGAACTCCAGATGGCATCCTGACTCGTTTCACCATGAATGCCAACCACATTGTCTTTAATAGCGACGGTACCAAAATTGCTGCTGGTTCTAGGTAAGCTGTCCACAATGAGAAAAGGCTTTGCCAGCCTTCAGACTTGAGCAAATTCCTTAACTGCTGTTTTTTTTTTTTTTTTTTTCAGGGATGTCATTAATCCATATACTGATCAGGGTTTTAAAGTATTGCAAAATGCTTTCACAGAATCACAGAATGTCTGAGGTTGGAAGGGACCTCTAGAGACAGCTAGTCCAACCCCCCTGCTCAAGCAGGGACCCCCAGGGCATGTGGCACAGGGTCGTTCCTTACCTGGAGAGGAGGAAAGGAACGAAAAGGATCGTTAGGAAGCAATTCTCTGGGAGATGAGCCACAAAATAATTAAAAATAGATATCTGGCGTTGTGAAATAATGTATTTTTGTTAGACTTTTCAGTGCTCGTTCCTATAGTGCCTAAGTGTTCACCCATATGGATCTTGTGGCAGCAGCAAGGGTTTTGTTACTGTGTGCTAATGTCCCAGCTGTTCCAGATCATGGTGCTGCAGATGCATCTATGCATGCAAAAGTTGGATGGCTTCTGATTTGTGTGAGAGCTCTGAGTCATTCTCTGGCATAAGCATCTCTGTTGTTCTGCCAAATGATAACAGATGACACTTGCGAGAGTCCCCTGAGGGGGATAAACGCATAGTTTAGCTGATTTCTTAGGGCAGCATGTTTGCTTTTGCATAAGATACACTAGTCATTTAACAGACATGGTGAAGTGGCAGGCAGGCAATGTTCTTGCTTGTTTATTTAAGGCTCAGGTGAATCTTGGTGGGATTTAGTAAATTCTTTGGGCATTGTAGCTGTCTTGAACTATGTGCCTGCCTCTCTACTTTTGTCCTCTGCCCCACAGCAGAGATGGTTTCTGGCTTCCCTAAGTGTGAACTGAAGGAGAAAGCAGTTTGGATGAATATAATGGGCTGCTGACTCTGGCAGCTGTGGAGCAGAAACACCAGCTCCACCAAAACGGGGAGGCTGGAGGCAATAACCATCCTAATCTCCAAATCTGTCAGGGTTGGTGAGTTTGGGCCTTTGCCAGTGCTTGTTTCTGAGGGAACAGCTCTGCCCCAGGATCTGGCTTTGATTAGAAAGATCAAGCAGACTGATCTAAAACTGTGTACAAAAATCCAGTACTTCTATACAGCCTGGCCAGGGCTGCCACGTAAGGGAAAAATAACTCGTGGGACAGAAGCAACCTCTCAATGAAGTCTACTATAATGTACTGAGGAGGAAGGGACAGCCCTGAAATGAAGGAATGCAGCTAATAAGGGTTGCCTCTAATTGTCATAAATAACTCGATCTTTTCATGAAGACTGTAAATTTCATATACAGGAGGCTTACCATCCAATCAGCCACTAAAATTTACAGGAACTCTTTGAAAAATAGTTGTGGCTTCTTAAATAGAAAAAAAGTGCTATTGCTGTTTTTTTGTTTTTTGCTTTGAAGTTGCTTTGCATTGTAGAAGGCAGCTAAATAATTTTAGTTGTCTCGCAATATAACTTGCACCCTTGTTTTTGACTGGTTTTGGTTAGCATCAGAATGACAAACACAATTTTGCCAAATATCTAAACACAGTTCCTTATAGATGTAGGGGCTAAAGTCAGAACACAATGAGATAACCCCTTATAGATGTAGGGGCTAAAGTCAGATTTCTTTCTGAAGGCAAATAAGTATGAGAGAGTCATACTGAAAGATTGTCCTATGAGCTCTTTGACTAAAAGTTAGCATTGTTATTTTGAGTTAAAATGAGGCAATGTCTGTATTTTTTGGGGGGTGATGGGTTAAAGTTTAAAAAAACAATTAGTTATGATGTCTGACACACTGAATGGTCTTAAAAGTTGCTTAAAAACTTTACAGAATAAGTTTTTTTTTTTTTTCCCAACCAAATATATAATTATGGTAGTGAATATTGGTATAGCTTAGAAGATAAATGTCAGAGAGCTGACTTAAAGAGGATCTAAACACAGGTTTTCTTTAGATCATCTAGAATATAATATAAAACTGATATATACTGTCTTTGTGTACATAATATCCACCTAAAAGAACTGCCATATTTATGAACTTTGCTTTGAAGAAACAAATAGATTATCTTCTGATAAGATAATTGGCCTTGTTTCTATCATAGGGAGCTTCAATATTATAATTTCACTAAGATCTTGCAGTGCTGGGAGCCATAGCTTCCCTAAAACTTATGTAGTGCCCAATTGCACTTTTATTGCTGTAAACAAACAGTCTGTTTCTGCTAATACAAAAATTAATTCCTTTATGTCTGTACTGTTGTGATCTGCAGTGATTTCATGGTCAAAATTGTGGAGGTGACTGATAGCAGCAAGCAGAAAACATTCCGAGGACAGGATGCTCCTGTTTTAAGCCTTGCTTTTGATCCCAAGGATGATTTCCTGGTAAAAGCACTTGTTTACTGTCTTTTATTTCCTTTTCTCTTAAATTGTGTTTCTGAGGGAAAAAAATAGCAACCAAGTACGTAAGGTGATTTAATTTCAGCTTGGAATGTATGGCAATTTGTTGCCTCCTGGGAGAACTTGGTCTCTGTCTTACACTCAATTATGCTCTCTCTTCAATTACTCTCTATTGTGGCGGGGGAAGTTTATTCACTGAAATAATTTAACAATAATGTTGAGCATTTTTGGTGAATGAGCATCCCACTTAAATATGAAAATTTGTTACAGTAGAGTGGAATCAAATGGAACTATCAAAAGCTTTTACTTTGATACTTTGGAACTAATTATGTTTGATAGTGTTAGAAAATTCTAAGCATAAATCTGACTTATACTGGGAAACTTTCTTTCTAAAACTACTTGTATATGTCTAGCAATGGTTATAGGAATCTCTTATTTTTTGTAGCATTAATTTCACAGCATTTTTAATTGTCCCTTTGTTTACAACAATCTCCTGCATAGGCATCGGCAAGCTGTGACGGGTCTGTCAGAGTATGGAAAATCGCAGATCAGGTAAAGGGGACCACCTTTCAGGGTTAATGTTCCCTAAGAAATAGGGGATTTCTCCAAGAGCAAGAACAGTCTACAGCTGGATTGGAATAACCGCATTGGAATAAATGCCCTTTTTTTTGGTTATCAGCTGTGGCTGCTTTTTTATATATATATATATATATAAATTATATATATATACGCACACATATTTATGTCTAAAATTCCTGTACAGGTAAGAGTAGCTATGTACTAAAACATGAGAAAAGAAAACTTTGTTTTTAGCTTGTTCTGGGACAAATTCCAAAACTTAAGATTGAACAGTTGCTTTGATAGCTGTGGACTGTTTGTGGAATCCTTAATATCTTTGGTTCATCTTTCTTCATGGCCCAGCATTGTCTGCCTTGTCCTCAGCATATTTGAAAGTAATGCTTTTGTGTGAAGATAGCAATTAACACTAACTTCCTTATTGTAGAATTTCAACGAGTTGCTTTCAGGGTAAAGGAAGTATTTTCATCTTAACATAGAGGTATCTATATATATTTTAGTTTAATTTTACCAAACTTCATGTGAAATGCTGGAGGAGGCTGACAATTAGTGAGGGTGGAAAAATGGTGCAGAGCATCATCTTTTTCAGTGGTCTAGTTGCTCTTGATCACATAAGTAAGATTACCTCAATTGGGAAAAGATTTTTTTCCCACAATCAGATTAAGGCCCCTAAAGACTTCAAACCTCTGCAGTTTCCCTGTCCAGTGACATGCACGTCTTTTATCAAAGACTCAGAATCCTGGTTGGTGCATTCCAACTTTTGATTTATAGAGGTGAGGCTTAAACTCACTATAGTGTTTCACCCTGCTAAGGTTGGACTGGGTTTTACAAGTGCAATTTGGCTGGAATTTTTCTCTTTTTAATCTAAAGATATATGAACTCATTTGCCTTGTACTTGATTGGAAGCACTTGCTCCATGATCTTATTTCTGTTTCAAATAGTTGTATTGTAATTAAAGTATTTTTCTTGTCTAAGCTGACTCTTATTTGTTCTTGGAGGTGTGTACCATCTTATTTGGATGAGATATATTATTTCAGTTCCAAAACTGATAGTGTTTTTTCCTCTCAGATTTTCCCCACACTTTTCCCTTAAAGATTTTTACAATATAGAAGATTTTCACAAAGCTAGAAAACTCATTTTTGAATGTTTTGTTTTCAGGCTTGTGTGACAAGCTGGCAGCTGCTGCAGAAATGTAACGATGTGATAAATGCTAAATCAATATGTAGGCTTGGCTGGCAACCTGGAAGTGGGAAAGTAAGTGACATATTGTTTTATTAATCCTCCATTTCTCTTTGGAAGTACAACATAGAATTTAATCCAGGCAAGTGCCAGAGAATAAGAAAAATATTTGGGGTAAAATTCCTATTGACGCAAAATAAAAACCTGGAAATTGTTACTAGTTTCTAGGTGCCAACTGATGTTGGCAGTGGGCCAGCTGTCAGCACAGTACAGTGTTAAACAGTCTTGTGTTGCTGAATAGGAAGGAACATTGTGCATGGGGGAAATAACCTAATTGCTCACAACAGAGCACCAAAGCAATAGAGTCTTTCTGTAATTTAAATAAAATTTGTTCCATTAGTGATCTCGCTTGGTAAATGTCTTCTATATAGTAGGTTGCTCCATTCCTTTTCATCTGAAGCATAAATTTGATTCTGCTGATTAAAGGTGTTGTTGATAGTAGTACATGCTATACATCTACTGCATTGTATATGTACGGAGGCTATAGGACTATATGTAATACATCATTAAACAAAATGGGTTGGGAGGCTGAAATTTGTATAATGACACAGAAGGCTGGCTCTGTTTCTGCAACCTAGGGTGCCCCTGTGGTATCTGGTAATAAAAAGCAGGAGAGAGCAGATGTTTCAGAAAAGGTTTGAAATTAAGGTATGCCTTGAAGTTAAGGGCAGGGAATCGAGCAAACCTGGTCATTTGGAAAAATTACTTTGTGGCTTCTGTTCTTGTCTGTGACCTGGGAGAGTGCTTTGGCAAAATTTATTCATCCTGCATTGGTGTTCCACTATATTAAATCTAAAGACTATTTTTCCAGTGTTACCTCCCAAAGCTTACCTGAATAACTCCTTCTCCTGATTTAGCCTTTGCAAGGTCTCTTTGCCCACGTTCACTCTTCCAAATACCTGGTATTAGGCACAGCTTTTCTGTGGAAGAGAGACCATCACCTTCAGTACAAACTAGTTCATGTGCATATTGCATAAGAACAGATACTATTTTGATATTTTTTAGGCTGTTTATACTAATATATTTCAAAATATAAGCAGTATAAATATAAAGCACAATGTCAAAAGTCCTTAAAAAAGACAAAATAATGAATTGTAAGAATTAAACAGTAACTTTTATAGTTTGGTAAAAGATAAAATGGTCAACTTCAGGAATCGCCTATTCAAATAAGGGTTATAAGGAAAAAACCCGATCAAGAGATTTGGGGAGGGAGAGGAGAACATAAGCCTTATTCTCAGAACTTTGAAAACTATTTATGCATGTTTGATAGCTGTTTCATAAATAAGAATTTCTAACCTTATGTTGCAGCTGTCAATATCTTCGGTTCTCTGCCAGAAAGAAATGGAGATTAAAATAAGAACAGCCATGCTTCAGTATGTTGCATATGGAAAGACAAGAGTCTCTTAATTCAAGATGACTTTCTCAGTTGGTATTGCTAGGATGTTAAGAGATCTGTTAAGTACTGAGAAAGAACAAAGGAGCTGTTTTATGAAATAGATTTGCTATTTCTTTGAATGTTTTGACTGAAAAATAACTTCTCAATTGTCTGATTTTTGTTCCCTTTGAACAGTTCTTGGCAGTTCCTGTAGATAAAGCTGTTAAGCTATACAGAAGAGAAACCTGGGATAACAAACTGGATCTATCGGATACTTTCATCACACAGGTCAGTCCATAAACAAGGTATCTCCTAAATTTTGTGTAATTTAACCCTTACTCTGCTAGAAATACATATTTTGAAACAGGGTTTGTGGGTGCATGGGAGGGTCTATTCTTTACCCTTGGTCATGACTGCTCAGATTATTTTTGTTTTTCATTTCTGATCCAATGCTTTCTGTTGTGAACTATGGTAGTTTATAAAGGCAAGAGATATTAGATGAGGGCTGGGCATTTCCTTGCATGATAGTGGCTCTTCATCTTCCGTTACATTAACAAGCCAGTTCTGTAAAGTTTACCACTGAGTGCAGCTGAATATCTGTTTTCACAATTTGTTCTACATATGTAGCATATTAGGGAAAACATTGGGAGTATTTTTTCCTTGCACAGTGGAGATATCATTTGTCTACTATTTTATTAAACTGAAATTTAGCTATTTTGTAATGCATGAACTGCGTCATCTTCCTGCTTTCAATGTGATATTCTTGGAAACCTCTGGGGAAAGAGGACTACTTCCTTAGTGATGTTGTTAGGTATCTGTTTATAGACACTGTTAATGCTTCTCACTGAGTTCACAACTGTGCTGTAACTGGGATGCTATAAAGATACAGAGCACTTCCCTTGATTTACTTTGCAAATCTGTATTAATTATGTTAAAAAGCAACAATGTCTAGTGCAGAGTTTACAGAATGTACTTCACTTCTGTTCATGCATATAGAATCAGTTTTTTTTTTTTTTTTTGGACCTCATTGTAACTTTTAGTAGCAGAAAATTGGATATTCTAAAGAAAGTGTGCTGTTTTTAGAGTGATCCTTCTAGAAGGCTGGTTAAAGCTCTAGTATATTTATATATATATATCTTTTTCTACAACATACCTATTTTACATGCTGACTATGCTTTATCATTCTCTAATTTTCCTTTCTCACTAGCCCTTGAATGTTGTGGTCTGGTCTCCTTGTGGGCAATACCTGGCAGCTGGAAGTGTGGATGGGAGTATAGTGGTATGGAAGGTAGCAACCCAGGAGTGCATAGAGAGGTATCCAGTGTTTTTCCATGAATTCTTAAATACTTTTTTTTCCCCTCTAAAAGTAGAATTTTGTTATATATTTAAGACTTATTTGTGTAAATATTAGAACTCTGCCTCCTGAAAAGCCTTTGTAAGGTCTACAGGGTTAAAAAAAATACTCTGAGTTTTTACCCTGTAAATTTCATGGGGTAAATCTAGAAGTTTGCTCCAATATTCACAGAAATGTGATCGTATTCACATGAGACATTGCTCTCCTTTCTGTGTAGCCTGAAGGATCTGGAAAAAAAGAGCAAGAAAAAGACATGAATGTGGCCCTTTGTTCAAATTCCATAGCCTAGTTTCGTGTGTGGAATGACTTGTTATTTTTTTTTAGAAATGACTTATTATTTTTAAGTTGAGTTATCTTTACTTCTACATTTAGCGGTTCTAGCTGATTAAAGGGTAATATTGATGAAAATAATGTTTACCCCAGATTCAAAAAGCAAGATCCCTGGAAGGATAATGGTTTTCTAAAGGGTGGAAAAATAGATACAAATTTCATTTTATCTTGCTTATTTAAAAGTACCCTCTTTCATTAAAAAAAAAATGAAGAAATGAGTAAGGGAAGGAGGGATTTGTCTGTATGTGTGTCTTGTGTTTATAATCTTGTAATGATTACTAGTGTAAAGCATATGTCAAGAATTAAAGATCCAGGTGCAAATGATTCATGATAGGGCTGTTTTGTGAGAATAAAATAAAATGGGAAAGGACAGAGGGCTAAGTTGTCAATTTGATACAAGAGAAACTGCTGAATGTGCTTTTTATAACTGATCAGTTCTGGAATACATATCTGTTGAGAATTACTTTATTTTCTACGTGTGGCAGCAAGCTATTTTATGAATATGATTTTGACTTTAAAGGTTAAATTACTGATTTCATAGAAAGGAAGACTTTCTTTTTAAATAGTATATTTTTCTGCTGACGACAGTCTTTTAATTATTTTGGTTTTTCATTTTCTGTTTCTAGTGTTTACTTTTTACACTAGCGCTGAGGCAGATTCCTGCCCTGAGAAGTTTACCAAAACATTATTTTTATTTTCTTTTTAGGATGAAACATGAGAAAAAATACACAATTTGTGGGCTGGCATGGCACCCGAAATGTGGGCAGATTGCTTATACAGATACTGAAGGAAATCTGGGGTTGCTGGAAAATGTTGGTGATGGAAAGAAACCAAATGCTAAGGTGATCAGCACATATACCAAATATTTCATAAATTAGCAAGGTTATTTAGGGTATCAAACTATACTGCACATGGTTTTGTGTTTTGAAAGTTCCCTGTTGTGTGCGTTGTTTTTTTGTTGTTTTTTTTCAGCTGTTAATGATAAAGTCAGTCCTCCAACTCAAAATGTGCAAAAGAAGGTTCATGATAATTCTTAACTTGGTTTTAGGTCACTGGTGCAGTGACGAAAGACTATGATGATCTATTTGATGGAGAGGATGATGACTACTTAAATGGAGATATGATTGAACCACAGTCTTCCCCAAAGGCTGTAGCTAATGAAGATGATGGTGGTGATGATGATGATCTTGCGCCTACTTCAGGCCGTCCAAGACGGACAATAATTGATGACGATGATAATTTGCTAGGTATGAATTGAATTAATTTTCTATAATTTTCTTCAGTGCTTTACTGGGACCATCTCACAAGTGCATCCCCTACTCCAACATATTCTGCTGTATTATTCCAAGCAAATCTTCATTATTTTACAAATTTTCCCCTATTTTCTGCCATGTTAATTCTTAGAAAATATAAACTTTGTTTGTTTTAACTTTTAGATATTGGGTTGATAAAAGCTAGTTCTAGTCTCCTTGAAAAGGAGAATGAAGATGAGGACCAGGCTGCTGGCTTTACAGATTTACCAACATTGTCTACTCAACGGCCTTTATATGATGGGCCAATGCCAACGCCCAGGCAAAAGCCTTTCCAGTCTGGCTCTACCCCTGTACATCTCATGCATCGCTTCATGGTAAATCTCACTGCTGGATGGCTACCTTAATCTATTTGGATGCCTTCATTAATGTTGTCCTGCTCGTATTGCATCTTAATCTCATCTTTCCCAAGATTTTAAATTTTTAGTACTTCACAGTTGCAAGCTAAATGGTGAAAAATAACCCTCTATTAATACAAAGGCTGCATAATGGTATACCTTTTTATTTAGCTTGCTTTTGAAGTAGAAATAAATATTTGGCTTTAAGACAAAAGCAAGCTATACAGCTTATACCCATGCTGTTGAATTGTAACTAAAATCTACTTGAAAATCCTTTTTAAATAGAATTTGTGGTTTTGTGCTTTAAGACTTATGTTAGTTGCCTGTCTTTCTAAATGCAAGTTCTTCTGCCTCATTTTCTGAAGCAGAGGATGCTTAAGCAATGAGTACGAAACGGAGCTTCTGCTAATTTGGCTGTTTATAGTAGGTTATTCTGGAAATTTAATATCCTTGACTCTTTTTGAAAGGTATGGAATTCTGTTGGTATCATACGCTGTTACAATGATGAGCAAGACAATGCTATAGATATAGAATTCCATGATACCTCCATACATCACGCGACTCACCTGCCAAATTCTCTGAATCACACGATGGCTGACCTTTCTACTGAAGCTATTTTATTAGCCTGCGAGAGTACAGAGGAACTGGCAAGGTAAGTCATGGTCTTCCTCTGTGGAAGCCACAGTATAAAATTGCACTTAGCATGTTCCTGATATTTCTGCTTTTAGTGCTTTTTGAGGTTTTTGACTTTTTTGATTTTATTTTTATTTATGGGACTCCTTTCAGGGGGGATTTTTCACATCAACCTGACTGTAGACTTTGGGAATATTGAAAAAATGTATTTATGTATTTTTACTTCCTGAAGACTCTTTTATTATTTATTTTTAATACAAACACACACACAACCTTCTTGCATTTTTAGCTCAAAGGCAACTGTAAACATGAGTAGTTTTACAATCTGCTCAAGTCAAAATCATAATGGCTCTATAGCTCCTTTTCATGTTGTTGTTAAGGAGATATTTTTGGAGATATCTAGCTAATTCCTGAATAAACAATGAATAATGTAAGTTTCTGAAAATTATGGTAGAAAGTTTGAAACAGCTGGGCACTGAGACCCTTTTATTAAAGAACAGTCGCAACAATGTTTTATTGCCATCTTCTGTGGAACTATCTCGAAGAAAGATATTTCTTCGATATCTGCTTATTTTTGCACATAAAGCATTATGTTAAGCTGAGAAGACCTTTTAAAGTGTTTTTTGTATCTATCCATTATCTGATTTTAAAAACTTTTTAAAACTTATTTTTTAATGAAGGTGAGCATGCAGGTAAACTATCAAGAGCTGTGTGTGATTTGGTTACACATAATTCTCAGTTATTAAGCTTGCAGGACTGATTTTTTGACTTTAGCTTTTTTTCCTTTCCTGAAAGATAGTCTAATGTGATAAACTTGCAAAGAGGACTGATATGCAGGAGTCCTGATCACCTTCAGTTCTTGTTAATGTTAATTAAGCAGGACACTTCTCCATTCCCATCTAAAAATCTCCCTGCAGGCCTCTAAGCTGTCTCTGCTTTGTGATTTAGAGGCTCTGGGTCCGCAGTGCTGGAGGTTGACCTGGTTCATCAGCTCCTGAATAGTAACAGCCTTGCAAACAACTGCTGGTGATCTGCAGGATAGCGTAGTTCTGTTGTATGACACTCACTAACATATTGGTGGGATTTAAGTGCACGGTGTTTTTTTGAGTGCTATATATATACTTTTTATTGAGGTGCTCATCTCTTGTTGTTCTTTCTCTCATTTAGCAAGCTCCACTGCATTCATTTCAGCTCATGGGATGCGAACAAGGAGTGGACAGTGGATATGCCAGAGGATGAAGACATTGAGGCCATCTGTCTGGGCCATGGCTGGGCTGCTTGTGCCACTAGTGCCCTGCTAGTTCGTGTCTTCACTGTTGGAGGGGTTCAGAAAGAGATCTTCAGTCTTCCAGGAGCAGTGGTGTCTATGGCAGGACATGGAGAGCAATTGATGATTATTTATCACAGAGGTAGCTTTCTCCTTTCTGTCTGTTTTCAGATGGGGCTGTATTTTCAATCCTCCCCTGTTAGTAGCTCCAAATGCTGCCTAGCTGGTACCTAATGAGCAGAAGGATTTTGTTTGGTTGATTTTTTTCTCCCTTCCTAATGATGCTTTTACTGTATCAAACTAAGTCTTTGGAATCTGACAGCCAAATCTATATTTCATATTTGAGTGCTTAGATCAACCTATGCGAAAAGAGAGAGTTTTGTATCAGTGAGACAAATAGATTAAACCTGTATTTCCATAATGTCACAATACATATTACAAAGGAATTTTGGAAGTAGTTATTATATGTACTTTGTGTATCCAAAATGACAAATGGTCACTTTTTTAATACTATTCATGAATAGCAATGCATTACAATTAGTTTTTGGTTTAAACCTTGCTTACATTGGGCTGAGAGGCAAGATAAATCTTTTGTTCTCAACATAGTCATTGAAAAACATCTTCCTAGGTACTGGGTTTGATGGGGACCAATGTCTTGGAGTGCAGCTGCTGGAATTAGGAAAAAAGAAAAAACAGGTTTTGCATGGAGACCCTCTTTCTCTTGCAAAGAAATCCTACTTGACGTGGATTGGATTCTCAGCAGAAGGTATGATATGTCTGCATGCGTGACGTTGAGAAATCTTGACAATATTGGGGGAATTCTGGAGGAGAGTTTGGAAAACTGATGGCCTTTTAGTTAAGGTGATCCTGGGACTTGAATTTAAATAAAAATAAAATATTTGTTAATGTTAAACAAAATTCTATTCTCCCCCCCCTTAAATATATTTATTAAAGTGTTTAATATATTTTTTCAATATGAAAATAATACACTAGAATGTTATCGGGACTTCTTCTCCCAATTGATTGTCCTTCTTAGTACAAAGAAATAAATTGCATTAATGTACTATAATAGATACATTCAATATATCTATGTCAGCAAAAGCCTGTGAAGAGTAATTGGTAGCTTGGGAAGAGATTTTTATGATGGCTAGAAGAAGTCATGGTAAAATAGCTAATTTTATTTTTTATTTTTATTTTTAAAAAAAGAAAAGAAATCTACCCCCATAGTAGGAATGTGAGTTCTAAATAAAATGCTTCCAAGCTTTGAATTTTGAACGTGAATCCCTTAGCAAGCTGCAGTGTTGGCTGTCAGAAGGTGGCGCAGCTTTCCAAGGAAACAAGTGTTCCCAGCTGGGTGGTGCAGTTTGGGGTTAGGGCACTACCTTTGAGCAAGGTTAAGTGTTATTTCCCAGTGGCATAAACCTGTTCAATCTTATCCGCCCTGTAGTTATGGATAGAGCTGCCTATCCAAATACTTTTCCCTTTTAACCAACAGGTACCCCCTGTTACGTGGATTCTGAGGGGATCGTGCGGATGTTGAACCGTGGATTTGGGAATACCTGGATTCCAGTGTGCAACATGAGGGAGCATTGCAAAGGAAAATCTGATCATTACTGGGTAGTTGGCATCCATGAAAATCCCCAGCAGCTCAGGTCAGACATTTCATGGAGGAAATGCTTTGTCTTACGCTTAATTTACAGAACACTTTGCTGAAATAGAAACTGAAAACGATGTAACTAAAACAGCTCCCTGTTTTGGTTTTATGCACAGTAAATAATTTAGTCCATAACTGTAATTCTCTGTAATTCTACAGTTGCTTTTCTTAACTGAATTGGGTTTGAGTGAACTCACTGAAGTTTTATAGTGTGTAACTAATGGAGATTAGGTTTTTGCCTTGGCTGACTGGCCTGCACACTCTAAGATCACCCATCTCTGATGCAGCCACATTCATCAAAGTGCACGTTGCTGCAGAAGGCTATCAAAGCTTATTGTTGCTGTTAGGATTCTGCTTTTGCAATTGATGTATTTAATTTTTTATTCTTAGCTATGCTTTCCCTCTTGCTCCCTTGAGAAGAATCCACTCCTTTAAGTGTTGCTATTAGGCACAAAGAAGTCAGAACTGGCTGTTATCGTATCCGTATTTAAACTGGCCATGAAGAGCAGTATGTTCAAATAAATATTTAGCTGAGGAGGAGCCCTTAGTTTGTAAGACACGATATGATATGTTATTAAAAAAAAAAAAAAATCTTGGACCTTTACTTCCTAAGCATGGTTTGCAGTCCTCTTTGTTCAATGATCTGTATTTCCGTACGAGCTTACACATTTTTATTGAAATACATCTTTCATTTTGCTAGTGATGCACAATTGTAGAGACTGGTGAGAGACTGCATTTTATTTAACGCATGTTGCGCTCTTCATAATCCTCCGTGTTGTTTTGTAATAGGAGGAATAAGGTGTCTATCACTGGAAAATGTCAATTCACTGTCTGTTTCTTCCTCCAGATCATTAAGTAACATTGGCCTCTAGGCAATTCATTAAAAATGTGCAGGACACATCAGCCTGGTGGGTTGGTCAGCTGCGCGTGGGTCATCAGGAGTGTTATTTTTTTACTTCTCCAAGAAAGGCTGCTATTCTCTGAATTGCAAAGAACATCTTATTGAAAGCCACTAGCATATTAAAGATAAGAAAGGGGGAGGGTTTTTGTAGAAATACCATATGCTCTAATCAACACAGATAGGCAGAACACTAATGCTTCCTGTTCTTTTTATTTAGTGCTTAAACTCTGACTTAAAGCTATAAGCAGACATTTTTGTCAATGCAGCAGTGCTGCTGCTGGAGAGACTGTTCTTCCTCCATTGATGTTTTGCTCAAGTGATTGCTGCCAGGCTGGACTGGTTTGAATACAGTGGGGCAGTAAAATTTAGTACAGGCTTATTTGTGACACCCCCCTGCCTTTTTCTTTCTCTATGTGCTGAAGCACAGCACTGTTCTCACCAAGTCCAAAACCCCCATCAGAATAAAGACGTCTGTTTTTTTTCTTTTTCCAGTAGCCTTCATTTTTCAGTAGTTTTGGATTTTAATAAATTACATTACCACATTGTAATTATGTTGAGGTCATGTATTATATGCCTTAGGATTCTGTGTCTGTCATGTGTCGTATTTACAGTTTTTGGTGTGAACAAGTGCGGTGTGTGCTTTGCTGTTTTTAAAATCTCCTATTGGTTGTACTGTAAAAATAACCCCCTACAATCTTACACATTGCTCTATTTAAATCAGTATTTTAATTACTACTTTTTAAAGAACAAATCCCCTTAAAGTATCTTGCTGCTTAGGAGATGTGATCCAGATGTGGAACAACTGGTGACTCTGAGGTGATGAGGATTGTACGTTGTTTTTGTTCCCCTTGTGCAGGTGTATTCCTTGTAAAGGAGCTCGATTCCCACCTACGCTCCCGCGTCCTGCTGTAGCAATATTATCTTTCAAACTTCCTTACTGTCAAGTTACGACAGAAAAGGGACAGATGGAGGTATGGAATGCTATTGAGTCTACAGTTGGTGATCTTAGATACCTCCATAGTATAAATTATACAAGATTCCTAGAGGGATTTAATAATCTCTATTATGAAGAGGGCAATACAAACTCTGATTAAGACACTTGGCTGAGGAGGTTATTTGGGTTCAGTGGTTTGTATAGATTTCTTTGGTTTTGTTCACAGTTCTTTCAAGAATGCAAAAAAAACTGGCAATGTCGACAGAAGTGACAGTGAATGTAATTAATACACTGGCCTTGGATGCGCCAAAATTTAGAATCCAGCTTGAGACTCTCTTAAAAGTGGTTGATTTCTAACATTTTCTAATATTTTAGGTTTAGTAATTTCTGGAAGATGCTCTCAATCCTTATTCTCCAATGCACATAATCATTCTGAAAATGTAGGCCTTCAGCTTCCTTATCCTCTTGAGACAGAGGCTGGCTGAAGTATTACATGTATATAGAGGAAATCTAGAAAAAAAATGTAATTTACTGCTTTAGATATCTTGTGGAAGTCAGTCTTAACCTTGGAGACATTTTAATGCCACTTGAAATTCCTTCTCCTTGATATAAATACAAAGAAAAAGAGATAAGTATGTAGAGAATAAGTGTGTGAGGGTTTTTCATCTCTTTTTTGTTTTTTAATTTGGTTTCATTCAGTTCAAGTGCTCTCTGTTTCAGGCTCTTTTCTCACTGTCCTTGCTAAGTAATAGAAGAGAAACTTGAGGAAATATTTATTTAGCTTGATATGTACTTCTGTACAGACCCTGCTCATAAAGAAGCAGATGGTGTATAATAGATCTAATGAAAACATACTGGTTTTGAGTAAGTTGATGGTTATTTTGCGCAGATCTAGCCTGGGCTAGTGCCACACCAGTATTTCCCTAAACCATCTCAGTTCTATTTTCTGTTTCTGTCTCACAAGTGATGGTCATTACTGCTCACAGATACTGAAATACCCTAGAATAGATGTAGTTTGCTCTGGCACAGCAATAATAAGATCAAATAATCAAGTTATTGTAGAATTGTCCATGCTGGTAGTAAGTTGGTGAGCATATAAGTCTGAAGCCCTGCTGAAAGCATATGATATATGGAATAAATGGAATTCGACACACAGGGAGACTCTTTGGGTCAGTTTGTGTATGGACGTTGTTAGTGTAATGCATTTTTGGTAGGCATTGACATTAAGGGCAATTGTTTACTGCTCAGTCCTGTTACAAAACAAAAAGAATGTTTAAGAATAGATTGTTTAAAAAATTCTTGGCAACTTGTTAGGCACTGAGCTGTGGATTCTTTTTTTTTTCCCTCTGACCTCTGGCCTGGTTATCTCCCTTGTTCAGGAACAATACTGGCGTTCTGTTGTATTTCAAAACCATATGGATTACTTATCAAAAAATGGCTATGAACTTAATGAAATGGCTAAAAATCAGTCAGCAAAAGAACAACAAGAACTTCTAATGAAACTCTTTGCCGTAAGTACAAATGAATAAATAATGGAAAGAATCCCTTAGACTTTATTTTGTGCAGATGGCATTTGATGCCAGTTCTAATGCGATTTCTCTTGTTAGCAGCTAGTGCGTCAAGTGCAGGGAGAGGTGACTGCAGTTAATGTTGTTAGTGCTTCTCAGGATGAGGGTGGGAAGAGGAAGGCTCCCCAACTTGCCTTTTTGCCATACAGTTCATGATGGTTGTTGTCTTTTAGTCATTCGGTCTGTCAAGACCATAATATTCTGCTCCAGGAGCCTGGGTGAGCTGGGTGCAAAAGTACAAATTTGCAGGATTAGTAAATTGTGTTTATAGGGCACTTACTGGATGCAAGACAGTTATCACCAGAGCAGGCTGCAGTCTATACTGCATTGTAAAGTTCCACAGGAACTTAAGGAAAAAAATTTTAACAGCGAGGGTGCCAGAGCCCTGGAACAGGCTGCCCAGAGAGGTTGTGGAGTCTCCTTCTCTGGAGATCTTCCAAACGCGCTTGGACGCAGTCCTGTGCCACGTGCTCTAGGTGACCCTGCGTGTGCAGGGGGTTGGACTAGATGACCTCGAGAGGTCCCTTCCAACCTTCAGCATTCTATGATTCTATGATTTAACCTAATTTGGGGAATTATCGTGAGACTGATGGGCTTTGTACCTGTTAGACTTTCTCATGGAGGCTTTAATTATTGCTGAAAAGAACTGGATGTCAACACATGTTCCCTCTTGAAGATCTGTCAGACTCTTCTTCTTATTTAAATTGGGCAAGTGCTCTGTACTTAGATCAAGAATGACCTGGCACTCTGTGAATGGATGTCTAAAGCTGTGCTGCTTGTGCCATGGGGATTTGTTCCTCTTTCTAGTCACTGGTTGTGCTGTTCTGGGTTATTCTAAGAGATGTAACTGTGAAGCGTGTGACTCTTGAAGCTTATTTTTTTTTCTTCTTTCAGCTCGCTTGTAAACTGGAGCGTGAATTTCGCTGCGTGGAACTTGCTGACCTCATGACACACAACGTTGTGAACCTGGCTATCAAGTATGCTTCTCGTTCCCGGAGGCTGAATCTAGCCCAGCGCCTTAGCGAGATGGCTGTGGAGAAAGCAAGTGAACTAGCCACAGCGGAGCAGGAGGAGGAGGAGGAGGAGGAGGAGGAAGAGGATTTCCGAAGGCATTCAAGTGCTGGGTAATGCCAGTTGCTGTATTGTTAAAAAAAACTTGGGAATATTTTTTACAGATTTATTAACATTTTGGTCCAGTTGATGTGTTTTTGCTGTTCTGAAACATGACATAAAATGAATTTTGTTGCCAACGGGCAGTTTGTGCAGCTCCATTTGTAAATGGTATGTATATATAGAGAATAGTATGCCTTTGTGCATGTCTTGTTGAGCATCTTGAGTGGGTAGCACCAGGGTACCAAAACAAACTGGAATATTCACCTTCCTTGCTTGCAGTAGGTCTGTGTCCAACAGCTTCAGGGGCAGAGAGGACTTGGTACCAAGTTGTTCTGCTTTTCTCCAGCTTACTTGGTTCCAGCCTATTTTCTCTCCCCCTCAGTCTTTTTATCTCATGTCCTCCCATAATTATTGTAAAACCCATCTTCTGTTCTCCATCCCTTCTCTCTTCTAGTATCCCATCTCAATTTATCCTGTTTAGAGATATTCCTTCTCTTCCAGCTCTCTAGAACTCCAGAACTATTAACAGTTTTCTATACATCCTTAATCCCATGTCTCTGCCATCTGCCTGTCTTCTCCTCCCTGCATCTGCTTTGTCTGTTTTGCTCATAAAGCAAGAGGAGGCCAGAGGTGGTTGGTGTGTTTTTAGCTGTAGGTCATAGAGAAGAGCTGTGTTCTTGCTTGGCCTCTGCATATTACACCTATAAGGAGAATAGCTACAAGCAACTGGTCTGATGATCTATGGAAAAAGTGTCATGATTTTGTATGAGAAGCATTATTTTCCTATAGCAATTTAATGTATAAGATTTGAAATCTACTTAAAAAAGAGGAAACAATAAGTTAAGGGGCTTATCTGTGTCTGCTGCTTTATTCTTGGTGAAATGACACATTAAAACTCCTTTCTAAATGGTCTGCCCTATTAATTTGGGTCATAAATGGACACTGTAATCCCACATCTGTGACTAGCCACTCAAAGTGCATGACAAACATTGTGTTGTTCTTATAGCCAGATTAATCTAATACTAATATTCTAGTAGAAGGAAATGAAGCCTTTGTTTGCACATACACCCTTGAGTAATCATCAAAGATTAGGAGGAAAGAACAAGAAATATATGTACTGTTATTGGGAAATGAGGAAAATAATGATGAGATGCTCAAACTTGCTGCCTAAACTTCAAACTGAAAATATGCATCTGAATTACCACTTGTGTATTTATTTGTGCATGCAGATATAACCTGATTCTATTCATAGTGTTGGAAATAAGAATGCTTAAATTAAAATTATTGAAGATGTTTGCACATGTCTGCTTGAGAAAGTCTTCTGACAATGATGGCAATTCTGTTCACACTGAAAGGGCTAGCAAAAACATGCTATTTCTGTTTCAGCCTTTGCTCTGGCATGCAGAAATGTTTAAAGCCAATGGCTATGCTTGTAAATGAGTATAAATTCAAAGGAATTTCATAGCCATGTGTGGTCTTCCTTAAAACTACATGAGTATCACTTCATGGCTGCACTTGGTGTGCAGTTTTAGGGTGAACTGAAGTGGTTAATGAACCTAAACTCCTTCAGCAGTCAGCACTGTTCCATCAACAACGTAATGCAAATAAATGCCAAATGCTGCTATTCTACCAAGAAATGGAAGATGAGGAGGAAGCTGATGCATGTGAGGAAGCAGAAGCAACACCAGAGGCACATAAACAGAGTAAGAAGAAAATGTGTATGTTCTCCACATAGGCTGGAGATTATCTAGAAGTGTCTGTCACAGACTTAAACTCTTGAAATTTGCCAGTAACTTGGGTAACTTTGCAGCCTATGCAAACAGGGTTGATTTTTTTTTTTTCCTTTTAGTTTAATTTTACAAAAAAAAAAGACATAAAATTAAGTAAAACTAAGGCACATCACTTGTCAGGGGCCTACAAATGAAGCACAGGAAGTTTGTTTTAGAAGTGATTCTTGTGGGTAGAAAATAATTCCGTTTGTTTCCCGGAGTTTTGAGTCTGGCTTGCAGCTGTAACAGAGACTAATATTTTTTGCTACTTAGAAAATGTCTGGTAGTTTGTGACCTGACTTGTTCACATGTTGATATAGAAAAAAACATGCAATGATAGCAACCAGCTGACCCCAGTAACTCCTGCCTGCGAGCTTCCCGCTACCTGCAAATCCCTCTGGGAAAGGTGTGGTAACTGCACCCCAGGGAATGGATCCAGATTCCAGCCTGTGCTTTGGTTGCTGCAGAATAACAAGTTTTGCATCTGTCATCTCTTCAGCAGCAGTTTTTGTGCAGTTTACTTAATTATTTAGGGACTGTTGGGGAGTTTTTTGCTATCTAATATGGTTTCTAATGGAGAAATTCACCTTGTGAAAATTACTCTTGGTTTCAGCTCAAATCCTGCAGGAGTTGAATTGCCAGGGAGTTTCCTGAGCACATCCCATGTCAGCAACCAGGCTCTTACCTCTTGGAGGAGAGTTATTGGGCAGTCTGTACTGTTGCAATGTTTCCATCAGGATGCTGAAGCATTCCTTGTCCCCTTTTAAACTCCTGTGCTTTCTATATTTATGTGTGTTTGTATGTACTGAGAAATATTCGTGTTTGCACTTTAAGTGGTGGTTTGGCAGAGAAAAGCAAAATGTGTTCAGTTATTATTCTTGACAGACTGGGCTTGTGAAGGAGGTTCTTTTTAATCTTCAAATGAAAAAAAGCAATGGTAGGTAACTTTATGTATAAAACAAAAATGGTGGTTTATATATTGCCATATTTATTTTTACATTGCCTTATTTATATTTCATAGAGTTTTTCTTTTATAGTTAGACACTTGTCTAGACAAATTTTGTTAGACGTTTACTTAAGTCTTGCTTCTCACTTTCATATATAACTCTCTTATATAAAAGTTTATCCATTTAAAAATCAAATTTGGTAAGTAAGTATACAACTCCTAAAGTTAAGTCCAGGTAAAGATAACAAGCAATTTTGTCAAACTATGTACAATTTTAAAAGGAAAAATCAATGTGAAGGTGTGGTTTTGCTATGATTTGCTTATGTGTTTGGGTTCTTTGTCTTGCTTTTAGCAAGTTAATGCTATTACATTTTATTGCACTTAAATACGTACCACTTTCTTTGTTTTGAAGGGCCAAATCCTTTCTCCAAAGGTGTTGCTTCAAAAGAGGTGATTACTCCTAAGTCTGGTGAGTAAATCTCCATTTATTACAGGGGGAGAAGAGAGGTGGAAAAAGGAAGAAAAACTTTTGTGGTGCCTCAAAATCCTCACAGTCTGCTCCTGTTTATACTTTTATTGCCCCTAAAACTTAGCACATGATAGTGCTGTCAAGAGGTATCTTCTAATTGTTATTCTCCCAGTTTTGCCTTTTTAAGAGGTTTGCTACCCTTGATGTCTCCATTTGTTTAGGCAAAATTTCTCCCAAAACTAGGGAGAATTTCTTTTTGTGTGGAGAAGCTGATGTCTCTGATAGAGCTTAAAATGGCCAATGGGTCAGAGACTTAATCACACACAATGACTATGTAAGAATTGTTTTTTGGAATTGAGGCTAAAATTGTTTCATTTGCTCATGCAAAACATACACACTGTTTCTTTTTTATATATATAAAAATATATATTCATGCATTTATGTATGTACTCTTTTCTGTTTTTTGTTAAATAGCTGTAATTTCATCAAGCAGCCAAGGACGAGTGAATCCCTTTAAGGTAGGAATTTTGCAGCTGGTTTGATTGCGGTGTTCCAAAAATCACAGCGCATCAGTATATCTAAAGTTATAATTTAACTATGACAGAAATCTATGTGGGGGAAGGGAATGTGACTGAAAAGAAAAACTATAATGGTTTGTTTTGTTAGGTGTCATCTAACAAAAAGGACCCAGTGGTTCCCTTGGCTAATGTTCTAGACTCCATGAGCAAATACTCAAAGAAAACTCCTTCGTCCAGCAGTCGGGTTGTGAACAAGGAGAAGTCTCAGGTTATAAAACCTCTGATTCCCAAACCAAAGTCCAAGCAGGTAATGTCTCCAGTCTTTTTTTATGTTGTTTCAGTGAGCAAAGAGCAGTAAATTGAATTTTACCAGCTTTTATCAAGTATAAAATCCTGCTGATTGAGTAAAGCATCTTAAGATGACAAAGTTCATTCAAGCATACTGCAGAAATTTATAGACCTGCGTAAAAAAAAATTACATTTTGCACTGAATTATTCTTACTAGTGTTTTAATCTCAATTATTTCTATAGGTTTCAGCAGCCTCCTTTTTTCAGCCTCGTACACCAAATTCTAATGAAAAAATAGTGGAAGAAAGAGAAGAAAAAGCAGAAAATGAGTGTCCTGTTGACAAAGTTGCTGTGCAAGAGAACACTGAAAACAAAAGGTGAATGGAGAGTTGCTGCTCAATGCCATATTTCGATTCTGATGGGATAGTCGGTCTGAAAACATGTGCCTTCAGAAACAAAGGGATTTTACTGGTCAGAGTAGCATAACATCAAGATAATAAGTGGTAGTTAGCAAGCTGTCATGCTTGTGAATTCACTTCAGAGGTTTAGCCAACTGCTATTTATATTATACATATTATCAAATAATTTGTCATAAAAGAGGCCAGTGAGATTTCTAAATACCCACATTCTCATCTTTATGAAGGGGGGCAAAGGAAAAACTGTCTGTTAAATCTTGTCCAGTAAAACTGGTGGTGTTATTCGAAGTGGAGTGTCAGTGAATAATAAGTGAACAATGCAAAATGTAATTTTAAGCTCTGACCATTTATTTTTGCTTTGGTAGTGCTCATGCATCTTACAGTGACCTTTGACTGAGAAGCGAAAGCATGCCCCTATGCCAGTTCCATTTATATGAAACATTTAAGACTTAGATATTATCTATCAGTCTCTCAGGAGATATGAAAGCTAGGTGGTTTAAATGAAAAGTTTAAGTTCTGCTATAAGGCTTTTAGTGCTTAAACAGCACAAACAACAACAAATCACCACACACAGCCAAACAAAATACTCATATCGCTTAAGTAGCATGTCTTTTCCAGACACTCTATAATGTATTGTTCCTCTGGAGCACATACATTTCCTAATAATCCCATCTATTCTAATAATGAGGAGGGTTAAGGTAATTATTATTCATTTGGATTAGCATTCTTTTCATTAACCTTCATAGGTGAGGTTCCAAAATGAGTGTCAAGAAAAATGATGGAGGAGAAAAATATATATTTAAGCAATCTGTCTTTAGGTTCCCATCAACCTGATGAGACCAACTATACTTTGTCATTCCAGTTCTGAAATTCCACTGAAATTTCCACCTGTATCCCAGTTTTAACAGCAGTATTTCACTTTAGTCTTCCCTTGTCAGCATGTTCTTTACGCATACTGCAATAGGAGAAAGGGAACCGTCTAGTATGTCTCTTCTTTGAAAGCAAAAATCCAGTCAAGTGTTTAAAAATGTTATTGGGAGGGAAGCAGTATGATTTTCCTGTAACATTCAAGAACTCACAGTTCTCTTTTTTGCTTGTTTTAGACCAAGAACAGGATTCCAGTTATGGCTAGAAGAGAACAGAGCAAACATTTTAACAGATAATCCTGATCTGAATGAAGCAGAAGTAATAAAAGAAGGCATGAATCGGTTTAGAATGCTGTCGGCAGAAGAACGAATGGTAAGACAGCACTCGCTGTTCTGTTTTTTCAGACTTTTTCCCCCCCAAGTTCAGTGATTACTTCCAGCTAGGAGTTTTCTTTAAATGCCACTGTTCTTGGTCTCCAGGTACTTATGTTTTGATTTGAGCTATAATCCAGGTCATATTCTATGAAAATATAAAGTATATTGATTTCTGAATAATAATTAAGACTTGAAAGTAGCTTTTGCAAACTGGGACATCAGAGAAAAACATCAATAACAACTTGAATGAAAAACGAGAGAGGAGGGTAGGCGTTATTGGATAAAAACTGTATAGTCAAGATTCATTCACTGGGGCTTATTTTTTTAACACCTTTTAGGTTTCTTTATTAAGAAGACAATTAAAGCTTTGAATTTCATATGTAGGAAGCATAATTTTGAAGAACGCATTTGCAACACAAGGAAGTTAAGAAGTTGCCCCTAACTTAATCGGCAATCTCTATCAGTTCTTAACAGGCATAATTTTAGAATAATATACTTTTATAATCAGAGAAGGAAGATATATAAAGTAAAGCGGCAAGTTTTGTGGCCTGTTTCATAGGGGATGTGTGGTTTTTTTAATGATGGGCTTTCTTTAAAGGTATGGACTGAGAAAGCAAAAGGAGGCACAGCTAATGATTTACCCGAAGCTAAAAAGCGAAAGCGTCCTGCAGCTGGTGAAGATGAGGAGAAAAAGCAGGAGGAAAAATCAGAGGACTCAAATTCATCCAAAAAAATAAAACCTTTAGATCAATCTACAAATGTCAGACTGTCAGCTTTTGCATTCAAGCAAAGTTGAACAATGTGATACCTTCTCAGCATGTTTTCTCAAAACGTGAGGTTGCTCTATTTTGAAAAATTTTCCACTGTGCTCAAAGAGCATTAGCAAAAAGAGTGCCTTGCCCTGTTCTTTTCGAAATATTTTTATTGTCAGCTCTTTCAGGAAATGTTGAATCCACACCCAAGATCACTGCAAGTTCGTTTATTAACTAGGATACAGCTTGATAGCAAAATGGAAACTAGGGGAATAGCTCTCTAGAAGCCCTGTTGCACAGGGACCGTGTCCCTTGGTGCTTGAGAGATTTGGTGCTAAACACAGATGAATCATTCTGGGGTGGATAAACCGAGTACAAAAACCCTCCTCGAGTAAGAGAGCCAAAGGATTGGCTTCCTTATGGAGACCAGCATCCATCGGCCTGGCACGGGCAGTGAGCAACCTGCCCAGGGCAGAAGCTGAACTGGGAATGTCAGTGTACAAAAAATGAGCTGTTCCACATTGTGGAAATGTATTTTCACAGTGAGTGCTTCAGCAGTGTCCCGGATCTGGTCCAGAAAGTGCCCAGAACTTGAAAATATGTGTATTTTATGTAATATTTGTTTTTAAAATAAAACTTCAAGTTTTAGGTGGTAGTTTCCTTTTGATTTTTTTTTTATACATCCTTTTCCTCTTATTATTCATTCTTCATTTCTCTTCGTATCATGGCTGAAAAGGCAAAAATGACTTTCCCTTAGAATATGCTTAAGCATGGAAATGTGTAGACTGAAACTTCAATGACATTTTCATAAAAGCCGGGTACATTTTAGAATACAGGTATGTGTTTTGCTGTGCTTTTTAGTAGTAGTTATAGCTCACTTTTGGAAAACACAATTTTCGCCCTTTGTAGAAAAGGGAGTTTGAGATGCCAACTAAGGATGGTAGATACAAAAGGATCTGAAGCCTCATCCCTCTGAGTGCATTTGTCATCAAGTTCTTCCCTCTATATTGTCATACATGTTATTTGTTTAAAGCTGATGATAGACTAGAAGTGATAATTAACGTAAGCTTGTACTTAGCAAGGGAGATTGTATTGACAGCACAAGAGAGGGAGGAGAACAGCAGCATATTCTAGTGTCTATAGATGGAAATAAATGATTGTATCAGCTGCTGTCTGGAATTTCTTTTAGGCAATAAAGTCCACTCTCGCATTTGGATGTTTTAGAGAGGAAAAAAAAAAAAAAAAAAAGTTGGCATTGATGAGAAAAACACTCTGATAAAATCATTGAGGCTTGAGGAATTGTATAGTGTTTTCTTCCTCCTCAGTCAGGGTGTGCTGACCTTGAGCATCATCAATATGGTGCTGGGAAAGGGATGGATTTTCTTCAATCTGTATATATAATTGTTATTCAACTTGATACACCTTATGCAGGGCAAATATAAGAAGAAAATAAGATCCTTTCAGGGCTAAACAAGCTGTTTGAATGATTCCTCAGGACTCCCATATAAAGGCTGCAGCAAAAAAACCACTTAATGTCCTGAGCTGAAGGGATAACTTGAAATCAATGGTGCTCCTGCAGGACCCCAAGGAAAGGAATAGAAAAATTAAGGAAGTCTGGAGCTGAATGGAAAATATATTCTGCTTGTCACAAATTGAGGTGAAAAAAATCCATTGAAATCTCTTTTTGGAAAGCAAGATACTCAGATGGGATGGCCTTGGGCTGACGTGGTATGTAGCTGCAACAAGCTGTCCCTTTGGCCCTCGTAGGAGGGAGGAAATGTCCAAAGTCACCGTCCCCAGGAGCCCTCTGGCTGGTTTCAGAGGGGTTGGCTGAGATAACCGTGACCCAACGTGGCTCCCAACGCTTGTGGGGAGGCTCCTGGGCTCGGCCGCTGGCTTCAGGGACAGTGACGCGAGTCCCCAGCCCGTGTTTGCTCTTCTCCTGACTCTGTTTTTCCCTGCGTAATCCTCTGCTGTGGGTTTCATCAGATCCAACAGCCGCAGCCCCCAGGGCACAGCCAGGATCCTGCTGGCATCTCCAGGGCTGGTGTCTGTGTTGAACCGTGGTGACGGGGACAGCCAGGTCCCGGGAGCAGCGGGATGGCTGCGTCAGGGCCAAGCTGCCCCTTCCAGCCCCGTTACCCATCCCTAAAATACCCGGCGGGTATTTTAGGTATTTTTGGAGCCTGCAATCAGCTCGGCCTGTTCTTCCGGGCAATTGAATTAAATTGCTGCTGATTCATCGGGCTGCTAAGGGGTGGATAAATTCCAGGCTGTGTTTGCAGGGCCCTGGGTGGGGGGATGTGGCACCCATCACCCGGCTGGTGACAAAGCCCTAACCTAGCGACAGGAGCACCAGCAAACCTTGTCGCCATCCATCGGAGCCACGCGGGCTATGGCAGCACCCAGAGCCGGATTAGCAACGGGAATGCTGCTGAGAGGTGACACTCGCCTGCTTCGCGCCTCCAAGAAATGTCCCCAAGCGGGTTTTATGGTGCAGCTGGATTGACAGCCACCACAGGGAAGGCTGCTGCAT